GAACGTGATAGATGGTTTGGGCATAACTAGATTTGAGGGCATCTTCATGAAGGTATGTGAAATTACTCTCACAATGTTGAGGAAAGATAGGGAGACATTGCTGATCAACCTAGAGACCTTCATCCACGATCCTCTTGTCGAGTGGACAAAAAAGAAAAAACCAGAAGTTAGGAACCAACGGGCTGAAGTTTGCGTAATCTGATGCTTCTCTTATATGTCAATTAATTGCACGAGACAACCTCATGATTTGGTATTTATTGGAGGCCTACTAATTGGAGTTGGATATTACTTATATATTAGACAATTCTTGTCTAAATTTTTGATGTGGGACTTAGATTGATATCCCAACCTGATGTATGTTGACTGAATCTATTAATTAACAGATTAAAATAGACATTAAAATAGACATTAAGTAAAACAAAAAAATGGTTTTGAGTTTTGTTTTCGTTGGTAAGTTGGGTTTTCTCTCACGCCTGACATAGTTTTAATTAAAGCAAGTGTATATAGATTTTCTTATCACAAAAAGAAAGCCAAGTGGATATAGAAGAAAGGAGATATGATATTATGCAATTAAAACATTGTAACAATACACTTTTTTTTTAATATGTTTTCTTAAAACAGATGTGGTGGATCAACAGTGATATTTTTTTCTAAAAAATACATTTTTAATATAAAAATATCTATAAAAAACCCAAATTTGACAAAAAAAAAAAATTACTTAAAATCTAGACAAAGTAAAATCAATTTCAATATAAAAAGGTCCTTGATCTTGCTCATCTCCTTGACTTCTCCAACATAACATGCTTAAAAACTTGCTTAACAAAATGAATTATCCAACTTTCAACCAAGACATGATTTTAGAGATTTTCTCCTACTGTCCAGCATCAACAATTGCAAAACTTAGATTCGTAAACAAAGATTACTACAAACGAATGTCTGAATCTTCGTTTATAAACCTTAATCTCCTTAGAACCAGTTCTATCTTTGGAGTTTTTCTCCAATACCAATCATATCCTTCAACTTTTAATTCAAGTTTTGTCCTTGCCGGAGATGGAGATATCTCGCTTGACTTTCTTCCGATGGAGAAAGTAAAGATCGAAGCTTATGATCCAAGTCAAGGGATTTTGCTTTGTGTTGTTTCTGTATGTTATGGAAAAAAATCGTACCTCGTTTGTAAACCAACCACAAGGCAGTACCGTACTATACCAACCCCGGAGACCGGATATTGGACCGATCTACATTTTCGAGCTATTGTCTCCGGTTTAATCGTGATTCGGACAAACCCTTTAATTAAGGTATAAGATTGTCAAGCTATCTACTAAATTCAAGATATCATCTTCAGAGAATGATCGTGGCTACACACTCATATGCGAGGTCTTTGATTCTGATTCGTTTGCATGGAAACGATTAGACGATGTGAAACTACCAAAAGGCGAATTTCTAATGATTTCAAGCGTATCAATATCAAATAACCGGTTCTTGCATTGGTTAACGACGTCACAAAAGAATGTGTTCCGGTTTTGCATGGAAACCGAAAGATGGTCTCTCCTCCCACTTCCAAACCATTTAGCTAGCTCTAATCGTATAATTTTAGCAAATCACGAGGGTAAGCTAGGCATAATAGTTTGGAAACGTGAAAATGGAGAATATTTTACATGGACTTGGGTTTTGGATAGTCATTTTGGTAAGTCGTGGGTGAATGTGAAAGAAGAGAAAAGTATAGTGGAAAAAGGTAATTTAGTTAAAACTTTGTGGTTTCCTCGAAGCAACAACGTCGTAATGATGGGTGGTTTTGATTGGGTCGGTCTTTATGACATGAAGAGTAATCGTATGAAATCTGAGCGTTTCAAAGTCACTCTTCCTTGTTCGTTTGGTACTTGTTCTGTTGCTTATTTCCCTATTTACTCTGACCACGAGAGACTTGATTTCAACGAAGATGATGTCTATTGTCGAACCCTAAACCTAAACCGATAAAGACCCACAAGTAATTGTAGATCGGAAAATAAATTGTAACTGAACAAACCAAATTGAACCGAATCGAAAGAAGAATAAACCAATGCGACAATTTTTTGTTTTCTTTTGCAAAACTTGTAGTTTGAGGCTCTGAGCTATTAAAATCATAGCCTTATATTTTAATGATAACGTAATAATCTTTTTTATTTGGATATGAATCTCTTTCCCAATCTTTTCTTCCTTTTCGTTTAGAACAAGATCGATCCATCACCATTTAACAACATTTCATTCAAACTGCAATCAAATCAATTAATTAACAAATCATGCATATTATGCATCACAAATTACTGCTCCAGAATTTAATGTCTTCAACAAAATTTTGGACTTCAATAGTTTGCCTCATGATACGTACCTAGTTAGTGATAACCACTCATCTAGTTATGATATGTTTCACACACAATAAAATCTAGTAATTAAACCGACGTGAACCAAAAAATGTGAAGCAAAGACGAAAAGTTGGCCCATTTGGTAAAGCCCAGTAGTAGCCCACTTACAGTAAAAGATGCGGTACAGAAAGCTGAAATTCTGAAGACTGCTTTAGAAGAAGACGGAGATCTTCCTGCTGTGGTTAGTCGCCTTGTGCGTTCTTTGCAGAAMCAGAACCAATAATGCAAAGAACCGTATAAGCGGACCAACCACAGCAGGAAGATCTCCGTCATAGACGGTGAGACCAGCAAGCTCTACAGATTCGAGGTCCATTGGGTGTGCCGTGTGGTGTCTTTTCTTAGGGTCCTTCCGATCTACAATCAACGGCGACTCTCGACTCCGACGTGGCTATGATTCCTTCCGGTGGAGCCTCCAGTAGCGAAGCTTCTTCCTCCTCCACCAAGTGGAGTGCCGTTGCTCTCTGGGATTGCGGTAATCGCGAAGAGATCCTTAATACTATCTATCTGGAATTTATGCTCCGTCTTTTTTTATTTTGGTTAGGTCAAGACTTTTTACATCGAATCGATTGGTCTTTGTTTGGTTGCAGATATCGTTGTTGACAAGTGCGCGATCTGTAGAAATCACATCATGGATCCTGTGTAAGTCTGAGAAACATTTGATTTGAGGAATTTCTAACTATCATGTTGATAATAATCCGGAGATTGTTGAATTCCAAAATGTTTAAGGCTTACTTTGTTATTGCTGTTAGGCATTGAATGTCAATGAATTTAGGGTGTTTCTGTATGTTCTTTTCTGCAATTTGGGCTGATTCTTGCCATCTCTGTAATCTGCCAGATATGAATAAGGCCAGAGATGGGGATGGTCTTTTGTTCAACTTATTGGGATCCAAAGGATGGCGAATTTTTTTTTACGTCCTAGTTGTTCTCTCAGTGAGGGTTCTGCTGATGAGCTTAAAGATAAAATTAGCAAAAGTTTGCCATGTTCAACATGAGATACTAATCAGCCCAGAGATGGGGATGGTCTTTGTTGAACTTGTTGGGATCCAGCAAATTGCTACTTGTTTCATTAAACTCGTCTGTAAAGCCTTACTGAGGGGACACTCTACGTTGAGGCTGCTTGTTCTTTAGTATGTTGTGGCCCTACTGCATATGTGCAGATGGTGAGTACATATTTCTTCTCAAGCTTTGCTGTATAAAATGTTTTTTAAGTTACTCCTTTTTCCACTAGTTAAGTGAATATTTTCCCGTGGGTTTTCAGCAAAAAGACTTACCTTTAATTTGAACTTCAAATTATGGAGTAGTGTTGCAGGAATGCGATTTATGATTCTAGCATTGGACGTTGCCTTACGACAGTATATTCCAGCTGTTTTGATTTCGTTTTCGAACTAACTGCAGAAAGTTTAGTGTTGGTCTTCCCTTGTTGATTACAGTCTGTAGTAGATATTTCAATATGTAATGTACGATGGAAGACCAAAAGTAAACTTTCTGCAGTTAGTTCAACAGCGATGAGACTGGTGAAAAAGATGCTGCTAAGTTTGCGTGGGATGTTTATCTCGACTGTAGAATCTTTAAAGCCTCCACCTGCCGGACCTGGAATTTCAATAGTGTCACTTAGCATGCTCACGAATGCATTTTGTTTATGTTGATGGACTGGCATGGCTCATCACTTGTTTCACCAGATGTATGCCTGGATTGCTGACTAGGTAACCAGAAAATCCCCAGTCCCTGTTCTTTATTAGGGTTTTCATTTTCAGTTTATCTGAAACATATGATTGAGAAAGTAAATCCTACCATGCCCGATCTTTCCATTTACTTGGAAAGGATTGACAATATGCTGCTCCTCATGTCTGCTAAATTTCCAGTATGATGCTTTGTCTTCTGAAAGCTTCTTCTTTTTTTTTGGTTTTTGGTAGAATTCTTCGGTTCAGTTTTATATTTTAGGGAATATGTCATCTATTTGCTTTAAAAACTAGAAATTCATGGAGGAGTCCATGCTCTTTTGAGCTCTCTCAGCTTGTTTATTGTTCTATCTTGTGCTCACTCATATTTACATATCAACTGAATAAGCTAGAGGTTGTTTGTTTCTTTAAGCCGTGAGAGGAAAATGCAATCATCATTTTAAACAAATAACTAAACGTTCTGTAGCTTGTTTTTTTTTATGTCATGCTGTTTGATTTCAACTTTTTTTGTTTATGCAGGCTTACGGAGACTGCCTAAGGAACTAAAAGAGATCTCAAAAGTCAAAACAAATACAGAAAGATCTTCCTAGATTCTTGCAGACCATTTTGCTGGACTTTCAGGAAGATATTTCTGCAAGAGCTTAGTAAGATCCTTCTGTATTTGTTAAAACCCAGCAAGACTCAGCTGCTTCTGCCATAAAAGAATTACTAAAGATTGCTAGTTGTGAGCCATCATTAGCTTGTACACGTCGTGTGTACCACATTTTCTTATGCTCAGGTACGAAGGCTTGTCTTTGGTGCCTCTAGGCTTAGTGCTCAAATTGGGAACTGTTGGCTTCAATATGCTAAGCTTTGTGTTCGGTTGGACACTATGAAACAGCTCCCAGGGAAATTTTGGAAGCTCAGGCTTCTGGTGGACCTAATGTTCACATTGGAAAAGTCAAAACTTCTTTGGATCACTAGGCCTTCGGACAGTGCCATTATCAAAATTCAGAGTTGTTTATCGCCTAGTGATCCGAAGAAGTTTTGCCTTTTCACGAGGTGTTTGGAAATTTTGGAAGATCAGGCTTCTTGTGCACCTAATGTTCATTTAATTTTCGGAAGATTGTGTCCAGTTTGTTTAATCATAATTCAGACAAATCATTTTGGTGTAAGATCGTCAAGCTATACCTAGTCAATCAGAGTGTTCTCAATACTCATATTGAGAGGATTTTTGGTTTTCAAATTGTGAGTTTGTATTGCTCGTTATAGAATTTAAACGATCCAACAATGTTTAAACGTCACTAAACTAAAAGGAAAAGATACATACGGACCTTTGCAGCAAAAACAAACTTTGTGCATACATTACATGACCGACCCACATAACCTAAACCGGTTTTTTACAAACACCCTCCCAAAACCCTACATTAAACCGGTTCGCATATTTTACAAACAAAATCTACCAAACTAAAATCAGTTAGCAAACATAACCATCTTCACGGTTTTGTTCGGTGTGGTCCAAGTAGAGCCTCATCTTTCAGGCATTTTTCTTACCAATGGACCGTTTTTTTGCCAACTACCAACTTACTTGCCTGAGCTGTCCTTGCGCAGTGGCACTTTTGTCACTCGCCGGACAACTGATGTCGGACGACTTCCAGGAGGAAACAGCCTTGGAACTTCAGAAGCTTCCGGCCAATCAGAGACTCCTGGAGGCGGATTAAAATCAGCTGCATAAGCGCGAAGAGAACTCTCTGTACTGTAACAGTCATCAAAATACTGGAAATGGTCAATGTTCATCCTCCTGCAAACCGCTACCACGTGTGAACATGGATACTTGTAAAGTTGCCACATTCCACAAGTGCAAACCATGTCAATGAGATGAACAACCCGCCATCATCGTTAGCTAGGGCCCATTGATGCGGAGGTATTTTGCCTAACCATTCTCGCGCCCCGGGATTCATCTCTTTGATTTTCTCCATGTAGTAATCAAAACTTGATATGTACCCCGTGGATCCAGCCTTGTAAACAAACTCTGTCATGAGATTGTTACGGAAAACATCATAAAATTTGTAGCACAAATGCCTAAGACAGAACCGGTGTTGCACCAACTGACACTCATGTTCATTAAGAGCCGCAACTATGTCAGGATTCAGACTTGTTATTAGACAAAGGCCTTCCCTTTGCGTTACTTTCTTTCTAATGCATGCAAAGAACCAATGCCAAGAATCAGCTGACAAACTTTCTTCGGTAACAATGGCAAAGGCAAGCGGAAAAAGTTGGTTTTCTGCATCAAATCCCGTGGCAACCAACAGTTTTCCACGAAATGTACCAATCAAGTCTACCGTATCCACAATGATCAGAGGTCTTAAGCAAGGAAACGTTTCGATTGACTGATGAAACGCCCAAAACACAGAATGGAACGATGCATCTTTCGGATCAGGAAAAAGATCATACTGCCAATCCAAAAGCATCTTGTTGGAGGAGGAAAGGGCAGCCATGAACTTAGGAAATATGTTAAAACTCTTGTCCAAATCACGCGAAATTGCAATAGTCGCTTTCGTTTTAGCATCCTGCATACTACAATGCGAGACTATGTAGCCAAACTCTTTTTTCAACCACGTGTTCAGGTCTGCAATTGAGAGCAAGGGATTAGCCCTGATTAGACATTCGATTTCACCTGCCAGAAACTCTGAGGGCACATGTACTGGCTCACAAGTATGAGGACCACTATATTTTCTTATCGCGTAGCCATTTCCCTTTATGTTATCTGCCTCGAGTCTCCATCCACATCGGTAGCAGAATGCTCTGAACGCAAAAGAGAAACGATGCTGTACACTATACTCTCGTTGCCTTCTACAAGAGTACAACTTCACTGCTTTCTCGAGCTCCTATTTATCTCTAAAAATCATCCCAACGCGCAACTCACGTTCATCAAGCCATGAACTAGACAAAATCAAATGCTTTGAAACGCTATCACTGAGGACATCTGTTGAACCTGGCTTTTTCACATTCAAATTCTTCTGTACAGCCTCATTATTACCACTAGTTAAACAGTTCCCGGCGTCCGTACTCGCCTCCTCTTCAATCCACCCGTTGTTGTTATCCTCCCGCGGAGTTCTTAACGAGTTATCTCTCACGCTCACATTTACACTAGCATTGTCTTGCCGAGGGCGCTTTCGCATTGTCTGATTTGCCAAGGAACTAGCCACAGGACCAACACCTTCAATAGAAACCGGTTTGACCTCTAAATACAACTCCAAGTTGTTGATAGAAGGATGGTAGCTTGGAACCTCGAGCATTGTCTCGAGGCTACAATCATCCACAATGGGCAAACGAACATACTTCACTGTAGATTGATGAACAATGGAAGGGTACCTACCAATCAAATCAAACTGAAACTTTCCCTTTTCAAATCCAGTGACTCGATGCAGATCATCCAACAATTTGGGTAAAGTAATTTTGCTTTCAACTCTAATCACTCTTGGGATCGATCCTTCGTAGAAAGGACCATCAGGGCCATCTTTGATACAGCCATTCCAATAACAGAACACCGGAATCTTTCTCGTATCCATGAAACCTTGAGAAAATTCAAAAGTGATACGAAATCAATTAAGGGTTTGAATGTGAAACCGTAAAGCTCAATTTCATAAGATAACAGTAGAGCAATGGGAAAAACAATAAAGGAGAAAGCTTTCTAAAAGATGAAGGTGATTAGATAAACACAGCGAGAGTATAATGAAAAAGCGGTTTATAACTAGATCTCTACGTTTGTGTTTGTAACGAGTATGTATGAGCATAAATAAAGACACATAGAATTTTTTTACAAGGTTCGGTTTTTCCTACATCCCCGGGATCTAGTCCAGAATCAATCCATTAGAAAAGGCCGCAACCTACAATTGCTATACGGCATACCACCACTCTTTTCTACATGGACAAACTATCAAGATATGTATCAAGCCTGCATGCTTGACAACCAACCAGCAGCACCGGTGCAACACCGTCTTCTCAACGGCTGCAATCTTCATAGACAAACCACCATCAGTATGGTAGGACGACGCCACACACATGTGTGCATCTCACAAAGGAACCCTAGGCGCGTAACTCTTTTTGCCAACGCCTCTTGCCTTTTATACTACCACCACGAAACCCTCACATTTCATATCATGTGGGCTTTTAACCTCTCTCATAATTGGGCTTCCAATTCAATAAGAGCCCAATCTCACTTTTCCCCACGTGTTGGAACAGCTTCGCATGTGTTCCAGTAGCTCGTATTCTGTTGCTCCAGAAACCTCTCTTTCATTCTCCCCCTTTTTGACTGAATATGTGCATCCAAGCTCATCTTCAAACTCTCTAGATTCAGCATCGACTCCCCCTCAGTGGTAGCATCAATACTTTCTTGATACTAACTTCTTGAAGCTCTTCATTGAGATTTGTTGGAGATGCATCGGCACATTAATCTTCCCCATCTTTGTTAACACATTCATTCAAAACYTCTCAAGAAAATCAAGGAACAAGGACGTACATCACACTCTCCTTCTGTGAAAACCAATTTTTTTTAAGAATGTACATCTATTCGTGGCCATGTTCCAACATTATCTTGTTTGTTACAACATCTGTTGCAGTTCTTCTGCAAACTTGATCAATTTCTTCGTTAGAGAGAAACATTCATAACTCTCGGATTTCACATCAGAATTGACTTCCGTTTTTTCCTCTGGAAAGCTGACTTTGTTATCTTTGCAACGGTGTCAAGATCGATTTCTGGTTCGTTATAGCTTGCTAAAAAAGTGGCCCGCAAAGTGGTTGCTCGCAGCTGATATTTCCTCAAAGCTTTCTCTTCGGTTCTCCTCCTCTTCCATAACCACGCTACTCCTTCTATCACATCCTTTGAATCTCTTTGGCTATATCAGAAGCAAATTGATCTCTCTCTCATGTTCGTTTTCAAGCCCATAAACTTCAATCTTCTTCTTCGTTAACATGAACCTTGATAAACCCTAATTTCATACTTTGCTCTTCAATCCTAACCACCAAAATCGAATCCCGGATCATACCCAAAAATAAGAATAGATCTCTATCGAGTCCCGATCTGATACCAATTGAAAAAACGATTTATCGCTAGATCTCTACGTTTGTGTTTGTAACGAGTATGTATGAGCATAAATAAAGAACACGTAGAATTTTTTCACGAGGTTCGGTTTTTCCTACATCCCCGGGACCTAGTCCAGAATCAATCCACTAGAAAAGGCCGCAACCTACAATTGCTATATGGCATACCACCACTCTTTTCTACATGGTCAAACTATGAAGATAGGTATCAAGCCCGCATGCTTGACAACCAACCAGCAGCACCGTCTTCTCAACGGCTGCAATCTTCATAGACAAACCACCATCAATATGGTGGGACGACGCCACACACATGTGTGCATCTCACAAAGGAACCCTTTTATACTACCACCACGAAACCCTCACATTTCATATCATGTGGGTTTTTAACCTCTCTCATAATTGGGCTTCCAATTCAATAAGAGCCCAATCTCACTTTTCCCCACGTGTTGGAACAGCTTCGCATGTGTTCCAGCAGCTCGTATTCTGTTACTCCAGAAACCTCTCTTTCAGGTAAAGACAACAACTTTTTAAGTTTTACTTTGTTAAAGCGAGATAAGCTCAAAGAACAAAAGGATAAATTTATGGGTTCGAATCGGAAAACCCAAAGCAATGTTGGTGTTTTGAGAAACCCTAAAGCTCAATTTCGTATGAAGATAGTAGAACGAACACTGTACACAATGGAAGACAAGAGTAAAGGAGTAAACTTTCTAAAAGAGAAAAGCTCACTCGCAGTTAGCTTCGGTGATTTCGTCAGGAAGGAAGAAGACTTTTGATCTCCCCCTAAAATTTCAAGAACCCTTTCACTTGTTTTTTATTTTATGTTTTGGCGTTATAAAACAATTGTTCTTTTTTTTTTGTTAATAACTATTTATAGGTTAAGAACAGTGATGACATAGATTAT